TATATATATAGATATATATATATATATATATATATTCTCTGTATAGATATTTAATTATCTAAATTTTTATGTTATAATTACATTCAAATATATACATGACAAGATATTTTAAATTTTTAAAAAATAATATTAATGATATTTTTTGTGCGAAACTAAAAATTTGAGTGTTATTTAAATAAAAATTATAATTTAAAATTGTCTTGAAGTCGAATTTGTCACCAAAGAAATAAAGCGTAGAAAAAAGTGGAGGGGGAAGGGGGAGGGGGGGAGAGAGAGAGAGAAAAGAGAGAGAAAGAGCACTAATAAACAATATAATAAGTAAATTATGTAAAATTTTTTTCATGAAATTGCCAACTTTCTATAAACAAAGGGGGTGTAATAGGTAAAGTTACATTTGTGCCCCAACTTGAACGAGGAGTGTAAAGCGAAGCTAGGTTGTCGGGCAGATGGTGAATCGTCGTAATCCAATAAGTAGTCTGCCCTTATACAAGGAAAATTCATGAGAAGGCTGTCGGGTTTCCCCTATGTGGCCATAAAATTTGAGAAATTGACCCCTTCTTCAGACTTGATTGTATTGAAGTGTTAGGTTCGGGTGATCATTTGTCTTATGACATGATGAGTTGTTTAAATCATGTCACGTACTCATCGTTATAATAATTGGTTTTAAGTTGGGTTCATCTAGTAGGGCGTCTGGGTTCCCCAAATCTTCTACTGAAGAGTACACCTTTTGAAATTACTTTTTCCACTTGGGCCATCTGGTCTTCTCGATATTTGTGTTGACATAATTTCTTTGTATATATTTAGTTCCTCAATTCTCTTGCTTCTTGAAAGTCATGTTGTCATCTGAACAATAAAATCTAATGCATAGCAATAAATATCATTTATAACTATTCAATGATTCAATATATGAACTCCCTAGATTTTTGTAACCTCAATTTCTATAAATAGAGCATGAAGGATTGACTTTCCTTATCTTTATCATTTCACCATTTGGTAAATTTGAACTAAGCACATCTCCATAATGAATGCATCTACTCCAAAGCCTGACCTTTACAGCAAGGACGCATACCACTGGGCCCTCAAGAACATAGGAGGAGGAGCCCTACTAGAGAGTGAAAAGTGGAAGGAATTGGCGGTGACGATGCCCGATCTGGAGGCTTAGGTGAGGTCAACATACTTGCTTTGTGACCGCTCACAAGAAAAAATCCAAGTGGAGAAGGAGGTCGATCTAACATTCCATCGATCGATCTATTGGTCTCACCTGAGGAAAAAGAGATCTTACCTAACGGTCGAACTGGTCAAAAAATTATAAGTGCTTTGGCGTAGCCCAAGGCATTGGGGAATCTCAACGCTTATGCGTTGTCATTCATGACAAGGGAGAAGGCTGGTGAGAACAATGTATCATTTACCACATTTGAGTGGGATTGAATCCTTGGTATGAGGAATTTTGGTCTTGCCTCGCTGATCTTCACTCTTTTCTAATATTTTTCTCTATTTTATTGTCTGATGCAGCCCATCTAACCATTAAAATCATGATCATTGATATACTCTTAAACGAGGTTGGTTCCTATGAGAATATGCACATGGTTGTTATGGATCAAGGACCGGTTGATGGCAGTCGGCTTTTAGGCTAGGCTGGAAGTGTTGGACATCCGATCAATCCAAGCAAAACTCCTAGAGAGGTGACCGAAGGGTTCCAGATATCTCATGTATTGTTGGGGAACCGACTACGTGAGATGGAGGACTCCTTTGCCCAAGCGGCTGGATTTCTGTAAGGTGAAAAGATGCGTGGTTTTTTGGTACTTGTTGAGAAGGTGGGCCGGTAGAGGGAGAGGAGGATTAACCTACACGATGAGATGGCTTCCCTTTATGAGGAAACAACTGCACTTTGGATGGAGTTGAAGGTTGTTCTAGAGGCGTCCTCTGTCTCTCATGTTCCTTAACTTCAGTGAGGATGTCTCGGGCGATTCGGTGAGTGATAATATTGTTAAGTTTTTTTCTCTCCAAATAACTATCGAGTTATTTGTGTAATTATTTTTTTGAAATAAAATTTATATTTTTTTACATGACTTATGTGCCTGACATGACCTATGACATGATTTCATCGGTGCTAAAGAACATCTTTGCCCCTGTGACGATTCATCTTACCAGCCCACCTTATAAATAGAGATGAGGGCTTTGGAATCTCTCACACATTTTTTTCATTTTTTCTCTTTTCTTTTTTTTTCCTCCTCTAAGCACCCGTTTCGATGGCACCCAAGTTTTTCCAAGAACTCTTCAGGTTCATTCTCGTTACTAAGGTATCCACAGTGACAGTGAGTCAAGTGGCGCTCCTCAAAGGTACCTATGTCTTTCATCCATCAGTGAAACTACGAGCTATGTCAAGTGATGACCATGCAACAAATGAGTACAAAAAAAATCTCATGTTCTATCGAGATCAATTCAAATGTGGCCTCTGGCTGCCATTCTGCCACGAACTTTAGGTCATATTCAACGGTTATAAAGTGATCCTCACTCAATTAATGCCAAATTCCATTGCTACAATAATGACATTTACGATCTTCTGCTGTCACCTAGTGATCCCCCTAGTGGAGTTATCTCTTCACTTGCATTTTCCTTTTCAAAATCGTCTGAGAAGAGAATCTTATATTTTTTACTGGCTCTTAACTCTGCATGTTGGGACTATAGAATAACTTTAAGGAATAAAAATCACGTTTTCAGTTTAGTTTGTGTTGCAGTAGTTGAGGAATCTATGTTCTTCTGATAGTTAGCACTGTAAAGATGAAAAAAACCCTGCCAAGCAATCTCAAGGTCTATGGGGAAATTATCAAAGGACAACGACTATCCACTCATCAATACTTTGTGTTTGATGTGCTCAATAAGGTGGTATGGACAAAAAGTTTGAGAGGATGCCCAATGAGTTGTGGGATGCCTCTAATGCCCAAGAGGCGGAACGAGAATAGGTGGCTACTGTCAAGGCTACCGAAGAGTAATCGTGGATGAAGGCAGCCCTTCGAATGCTCCTAATGTTGTCCGTCTGACACAATCCAAGGTTGCTTATGTTGAGCAACACATTACTGGTGCAAAATTCATTGTTTCTACGTCCAAACTACCTTTGTTGATTAGGACATTTATAATGGTGAGTTAACTCTTATTGAACAGAAAGTTAAACCTTCCTTGTTACGTTTTTGTACTTCTGACACTCAATGTGATGAGTCCTCTAACACACCCAATGTGTTTTCATCGAATGACTCAGATGAGGAGGCCTTGGCATATAGTATACAGGGATTAACAACTCTCAGGGATACCAACCCTCCTTTAAAAACTTAAAGTCGAGGGACGAGACAAGTCTAGTATCCCTCATCCATCTACACGAGATTAGGTCTAAGGTTGGTCAAGAGTCTAAGCATCAAGAGGAAATAATCCCTCATAGGGTGAGGAAGGCTCCAACTGTCGATGAGAAGATCTTGTCTCCTTCCTCTCCTTAGACGAAGGGGAAGGGGTCCCCATTTAAGTGGATTTGTTCTAAGGAGGAGGAGTCCAACGTGTGGTCCAACTCTATCATCTAGTTCGCTATGGTGGACCGAGAGGGATCGGTACTCCTAGCCTCCGTCAGTGGTGAAATACCCTTCAATCTTTGTGGAGGTCATCTGGTCTCGAGCCTTCAAAAAGATGTTAAGGAGCCTTAATTGTTCAAAACTCTATCAGTTGTCCAACCGCTACCACACATAGCCTGAAAGGCTTCCCACTTTAGGCCAAGACCCTTGAGTGGGTTGAATGAAATGGACCACCGCCAATGAGAGGGCAGGTGAAGTTGAGAGATAGGTCATAAGAATCAAGAAACCTCTAAGGCTTTTTGTGGCCAACATGGAGTCCTAGATGATTGAGTATGAAAAGATAGTGTTAGCTCTTTAGAAGGAGGATCAGGAGCCGAAGCAACTATGACAACCATGAAGAGCTTGGAGGAGTACAATGCTGGGATGGCTTATCAAATCCTGGATGACATTGCTTTGTTGATTAGCCGTTTTGTGAAGGAGGGGCTGGACGATAAAAAATGGATTGATTTGAAGGAGTTTGCCACACTTATGTCTGATCCGGGGGTGGTGTTGAGGAGGCGATCAAGGAGGAAGACTGGAAAAACAATGGAGAGTTTGCAATCGTCTGACTTGTCATTTCATGCACTTGGAAAAAAAATGTTTCTTTTGCTTAGTACTAACCTAAGAAATTTGTTTGTAAATCACTGTTTATGAAATGAAATGGATTTTTTGGTCGGTTTAGACTTAATTTCTCATTTTACCTTTGTTGTATTCTCTTTACTACTTTTTTTAAAATATTTATGTGATGATCAGTTGTTAGTACTTTAGGAGATTTTTTTTCTTTTTTAATCAACTTAATTGTGTTGCCACTTAGCTCAAGTATTATACTACTCTCGTCTAGTTTGCTTGATAAGATTCTCATCTCGACTGACATAACCAATGAGATTTGCTTCCAGGGTGATTCTCTTAGTAACCTTCATGAAGCTTTTTGCTATTAGGTAGGGAACCACCTCCAAAGCTTTAGCCACTTTGATTTTAGAGACTGGATTATTTTGATGCTTAAGTGTTGAGGGTCAGTTTTTAGCATTAAATGCCAATCAAACATCTTGCATCATTTTCGGTCATTTTAAGCATTTTTCATCAATCAGATGGCTTGCGTCGTTATCTATTTTTGGCATTGATGCTTGATACACTTAAAAATATATAGTATTTTTATACACATTTTAATAACTATTTTTGAGATATTGCGTTTTGATGAAAGGTATTTGTGTGTTTTTCTTTGAGGTACAATTAGATGGATGAAAAATGCAAAAAAGGAGTGAAAAATGGTCAAATT